GACGCAAAGTTCAAAATTTGACAGTGCACGTAAAAGATTCTTAAGGAGATAGACAAGCCGCCATTGCCCAGGCAAAATCATCCCCTCCTGTATAAAATTATGAAATTACTATTATCTTACCTTACTGTGTTAAATAAATTGGAACCAGGCTAACGACATCACTCCAATTTATTATTATTGTTCTAAAGGTCATCATCTAAATAAAAAAAACTAATCGAAGAACCATTGAACAGCACAATTTAACTCAAGGCTGTTATAAAATGTTGTCAATATGTTTTTATCGGATATTTTTTTATGTCAATGTTCTGCTTTGTCGGTTAAATTATGCAATGTATTCATACAATGCCTGAACTTAAAGATGCATTATGTAAGAGCTGAATCTGCCTATTGCAGGTCTTTATTTTGACCTCAAATGTTATATAAATTATTATTTAGAAATTTATTCACATGACTAGCCTGTAATCAACGCTCTAGATCATTGGATGGGTAAGATATTAAGTGGGTTAGACAATATCCGCCATATCTTCGTGAAACGTTAATTTGAAAATAGAGACTTCGTGTATTATCGTTGCAATGGTACTAGACAATCCCCTTTGAAAAGGACGGGCGTCTAGTCGTTCGGATTGGACGAATAAATGAGGCCTCGTGTACATATTGGCAGTATGAATTGAGATATTTCCCATAATATAGCACACAGAGCTACCAGGTTTCGGGATTTTATTCAGTGGTATTTTAGACCTGTTCTGTATACATAAATGCATAAAATGAATTGGCTATAAATGTTGCTGATGTAATCCTAGGACGCACGTCACACATGAACAATATGTTATGTATATTCTAAGCATTGTACCCAAGTGGTTTCAAAATAAACTCAATCCTGCCTGGGAGATTTTTTTATAAAAAAAAACAATCGACCTACGTGAGAAAATAATTCCAGGAATGCTGACTGTTTTTCAATTTCCAAAATTACGCAGTTTTGTTTGGTTTTATGCAATTATTCCAATTGCAAACATGAATATTTACAGAATTATCGTATAGTATAGTCTACTCATTGAGAGCACTTGAAATAACACATACGTATACCTTTGATGATTTCTTGTAATGGGAACGTTTACCTCGAATACACCTGCGTCAATTAATGCGATTCTTCAACTTTCAATCGATTGTCGACAGTTATACATATACATCTCTTATGTTTTCTATAAACGTCAGAGTGAATACTTTTTAAATTGATAAGTATATTATTTCAGTTCCTGTAGTTGTGAAACCAGGCTATATTTGAGCGGCCACTTCTCCTCAAAAAGGCATTGCACAGATTGTGCGGTTTTTGGTACCAAACTCCTGCCAGCGTTGTCATTAAAGGGGAATTATTCGGTCAGTAAGTCAATTCTCTGATCTAGAGAACACCACTGATGCTCGTTAGCGATTAGACGGGTTAACTTACACAAGACGCACTAGATCACACCGTTCTTTCATCAGTTAAACGCTCATCAACAACTGTTTCCCCGAAACCATTACATATTTGATGTTTCCAAGAAAGCTTTGATTTTCATCAACAGTGGATAATTCGGGTTATTTCAGTATCACGATTCAAACAGAAATATGTTGCAGTAAATGCATGACTACATGTTAAGATTTCTTGTAAGGAACTCAGTTGAAATCAGTTTCAACATTAAACAGAATCGCCATTATAGATTATTTGTTTGTTCTGGTAATATTGTAGCTGGTCTTCGACCGTTTTGAAAAGGAAGAATGGTTAATACTAATGCTAGGTTCCCACTGGCATGCGATGCGTTACGACAGGATTGTTCCTCTTGAGTCCACACGATCTGCTAATTTTCGATACGTTCGGATACGTTTCGATATGGTCAACACGATTGCTATGACTGACATCGATATATGTTAAGACCTGATAGGATCACCACGATTACTCCACCATAAAAAACCACAATTGCAATCGTAGCGCGACCTATTTTACTTAATACAAATGTCATAGAAGATGATTAAAATTCTTCTTTCATTAAAGTTATATTTATAAAATGTATTGGTCCAAGATGACACCGGAGGGGGGGGGGGGGTAGGGTGGTGGTGGATGACCGAATGGTTAGCACGTGCGCGCTGTATCATAAGGTCTGTTATTCTGTTATTGAGTCAACTGGCGTGGTTTCGATTCCCCAGTTGTACGTGACAAGGAGTAGAGTCGCCTGTCCAACCTCGTGGGTTTTCTCCGGAACCTACGGTTTCTTCCCACTGTTAAAGACCCATACGCGCAAGCGAATTATTGAAATAAAATTGAACCATGTGTTGGTCCCGAAGTGACCTAGTTTGTATCGAGTAGACGTTAAACCCCATTTCTCCTCCCTCTCTCTCTCTCTCTCTCTCCAAGATGACACATTTGGGTAACAATACATGAACACGTAGTAAAATTGGCATTTTAATTGAATGTTTTCTCGTGATGTGTTAGATTGTAAACATAGGCTGTCACCAAGGATCAACACTGTCACCAACATGTTTGCAAGCTATATATAAGTATACTTGATACTAATATTCCCCGAGTTAGTTAATAATGATGCATCATCTATCATGATATAACATTTTAATGTGCGCATATATTTTGATTCATCCAGCTATATTATGATTTCCTTGTAAGACAGTTTCTACTTGATCGACACTAGTACGATATTAACGTTACACATAATGAGGATTTAGTCCAGTACTTATATTTTAATGTTTATCTTTAAAAACTCATTTCCTTTCAATCTATTAATCAAATTTATATTCATGTTTGCCGAATGGAATAAACTGACTTTAATTACTTCTAATAATCATTTTACTTATGAAAATGTAGTGTGTTCATGCCATCTATCAAGCGTTTATCAATAATCATTCTATTGCAGATTAATTTTCATATATAATACACGGGCTCTTGGCGTGCCAAAACTTAGTTTTACTTTCTTGTACTGTACATCATGGATATCATGAATTCATATCTTATATAAACTTTTAACATATTATGTTAAAAGTTTATATAAGATATGAATTCATGCCAATGTTTATTATTTTTCTCGCTAGAAACTTTTGTGAGTGCACTTAAACGGTGTTATAAAACAGCTTATTCTGAAATATAATAAGAAAGGGTGATTAACAGTCTTTAGGAGAAGTCAGAAGCTGGGGTAAAGATTTGGCCAGGCCATTGGTCTGAACGTCAGATTAGACCTTTTGGCATTATTTAATTCTCCTTCTGGTGTAACCGGATGTTACGAAAACAAGTTTAAGCACACACCATACTATGAACTTGAAGAACAATAGCTAGTCGCAGACGCCGTACATTGCGCGCAAAGATTCTGCCTACATCATTCATAATAGAACTAGACAAACAATTGTTAGCCTCAATGTGATCTGGATAAGGTGAGGTGTGGATCCTAATTCTATTTAAGAGATGAACATATGTCTTAAACCGGGGGGGGGGAGATATCGTTTTGAGCTCTAGCTGGTCGGTGACCTCTAGCTTGCGGTTGTGGTTTCGATCCCAGGTGTGAACGTATGTGGCTTGGTGATAGGGATGCCTTCTCAATCTCTTGGTTTTACTCCGGGTACTCCGGTTTTCTCTTACTGAAAGGGACAATAACACTCTTGCTGGCTTGACAGCTCGAGAAAATAAAAAATAGCCTTATTCTAAGTACTAGATGTGTTAGTGTCCTACCTGTTGTGTAAATTATCCATTAAATCCTATTTTACTTGTCCAGAGGGTTCAAAAAAATATTTTTAAATCCAAGTCACATTTGAAAAGCTTTACGTCAGGCTTTTCAAATCATTTAGTTGAATTTTTCCAATTTTTTAAATTAGGTGTGTTAAGATGAAATTTGTTTCATCAATTAATTGGAATATTGTAAAATAGTGCAATTTGTTGACCAGAATAAAGATTGGGACATATTATTCAGTTACAACAAGAGTGGTATTGAGCCTTTAAGAAAGACCCCTGCGTGTGCTAAAATAATGAAAATAAGAAAACTTGTCTGCGACATCACACTCTGTGGAAGCGGACGTTAAACACTAATAGAAGAAGATGTTAAGCCCAAATGACTAGTAGCACTGTCAAGACAGTAACAACCGTAAATGATAAAGAGGCAGTGTTTGCCATCACATTAACCCACATTTTATAGCCCGCATATAATACGCTTTTAATTTTGTGAAACCCACCACGATAATATAGGCTCTTGTGAATGTACTACGGTGTAACCTTTCTTCATCCTGACATTTATTTGACGTTAAGTTGTGTGTTAATTATACTATTTGCTTACATAACTTATCTTTCATTTTTTTATTTCTTAAAATAAACTGTAGCCTGTGAGACAACACGCTTTCATGAATGGATCTTTTATTTTCATTTGGAAAGGAAACTTGAATGAACTAAAATTGTTATATACTGGCCATGTGGTTTTTGCACTTTTTCAATCATTTTTATTTCCGTTTATTTCAAAAGAAAGCACGGAAGGAAAGAGCAATACCGTTGTGACAAAGTTATGTATATATAACATTTCAACAAGTCATATAAGGAGGATGTTAAGAGTCACATGCCATGCTGCATGATAAATAAAAGCCCATTTTTGTTTGATAGTAAAACTATTACAATTCTATTTAGAGTAACGCATGACAAAACAAACTAATAAACAACTGTGTAATGCTTGCTTTATATTTTAAAGGCGGCATAACGATAACAGTAGTATAGCAAAACTGTTGCTAAGAAGTGGTCTTAATCCACGAGTTTGACATCTCTCAATTCAACATTTAGCCCACTTGGGGTGATACTCCCTTTCTGTGGTCTAAAGGAAGAGATGAATGCGGGGCTGCTCGATACGCGAACTACCCCTCTGGCTACTGCACTGACGATTTGGTTGAAAATAGAAGATAATTAGTAATGTTTGCCAATACAACGAAAGTTGGTGATTTTTTGGCACTTCCAGGAATATTATATTGTTATTCAAATTCTGTATTTTCAGGTATATCTAATGGAGTTTGGTTACTTAGCACCACAGAATCCTAAAACTGGTGCTTTACGTTCCGAAGAATCTGTATCGATAGCTTTAAAACGACTACAGAGAATGGGCGGGGTCAAGGAAACAGGTTAGAGAGATTTATCATTACACGATTCATACACTATACCCTTAATTACGTTGCTGTTCAAGAAATATGTAAAATGTGCGACCCGTTTAGGCCTATAAATTAATACCGCATTCAACCTCGAATGCTATGATAACAGTCCAACCAACACACACACCACCAAAGTTCATTTATCACCCAATAATACATTTAATTCTACAGTAGATATCGCTTGTGTGATAAATTTCATAATCTACTGCAATATCTCCTTAGGAGATATCGCTTTACATTAATTTGATTGGTCAATCAAAAAGGAACTACTTTTTTTATTTTCAAAGAACAGTTCATTTTTTATTAATAGTAACTTCTTTTTTATTAAAAAGGGACTATTTTTATTTAATTGACTTTGATGGAAACACTGGATCAATATAAAGGACTTTGAAATGGTTGAATTGCTGTCAAAAAATGATGCATCACTACGCCGTAATGTAATCAGGTTCAGTAGAAGACTAGTAGGAGATTCTCTATTTACCTGATGGAGGAGTGAGGCAATGAGCAGCGTTTATGCTAGGTTCTCAATGTCGTGCTATGCGTTACGATATCATTGTCGCTATTGAGTCCACGATCTGGTAAGTGCAGATACGTTCGGATACGTTTCGATACGATCATCACGATTGCTACGACTGGCTTCAATATATGCTAAGATCTAATAGAATTACTCCGCAATTAAAACCACGATTTCAATCGTAGCCCAAATCGTGATAGTTGGAACCTAGCATTATAGTCATTTGGGTGTAATGCTAGGTTCCCACTATCACGATTCGCGCTAACAATGAAATCGTGGTTTAAATCGTGGAGTAATCGTGGTGATCCTATCAGGTCTTATCACATATTGTGGTCAGTCGTAGCAACCGTGTTGGTCGTATGCAAACGTATCTGCACGTACCTGATCGTGGACTCAGTAGAGACTTTTGGCAAGTGTAAATTCCTGGTCCTTATCGCGTATCCGTATGGTGTGTGCATGTGACGTCATCAATGTGTGTGTATTTCTCATACGTGATACGGCACACGGATACGGCAGCACGTATCGAACAGCTTTCATACGGTAAAGTTCCGTATAACATTGTCGTCGATTTACCGTCTATTTCGCTACTTTTAGACACTGGAATGTTATATCATAGCGTTTTTATGAATCTGTGTGTATCCTAGAACATGAAGGTGTATATTTGATGTGATTTTAACCGCGATAAAGACTGGAATTTAATCATTAATTTTGAGGGGGGGGGGCTCGGAATTTTTATACTTTTCCTGTCTGTCTGCATGCTGTTTGATCTACGTGCTATATTTAGGGGGGGGGGGGACCTTGCAAATCTGTAAATGATTTTATTCTATGATAAAGGGGTATAAACTTTCTGAAATTGGAAATTGTAAGCTAGACACTCTGTCATCCTGCTGTAATAGAACTAAGCTCAGCTCAGCGACGCATACGTACGCGACGCGAAAATCTGCCAAAACTAAAAAACTACATTGACGCAACGTATCACGTATACGATACGGACACGTGGTACGGATGGGAAAAATTCCGATTGCCAAAAGTCTCTATTAGGGACATTCCTATAGTAACGTATCGCACGACAGTGGGAAACTAGCATAACGAAAAATCCCGGTCCTGTGTACACATAATTAACCTGTACCTAAACTAACCTCTGACAAAAGGAATTCGAACATTACGCGCAAACGCATAGCATACTGAATTCGCAAAGTTGCGGCAGAAAAAAGTAAGACGTTAAACTCCATTTCATTTCAGCTTTATATCTAAATATATTTTTATACTTCGGCAATCATGTCGAGTTACATGATTATGAAGAGAGACGTATGAGATTTATGATTATTAGAATATTGTATAATGTGTCACTGGGTTAACTCCTATCGATAATCGCACTAATATAAGGTGCAATTTTGTTCGCAGATTCCTGTATCTTGACCTGGTTTCGGCACAATGTTAGCGGATTCGTGTATCATGACCTCATTTTATCGTAAGCATCCTACGGCGTAACATTTTTCTTGATATTTCACACAGAAATGTGAAAAGGAAATGAACTTTTCGTATCCTTATTTACATTATTATGTATTCAAATTTGATTTAACACCCAAAATCTCAAAATCTGGACGAACTAACAGTCAGCTGTTATCCTTTTATGCTCAGACTGCTGGCTTGAAAAAAGCCCCATTTGAAACATCGTGGTAACTGTATAAGAGTTTTACGAGGGCCAACAAGGCAACTTGAAATATAATCACATCTTGCTATACATTAAAATTGTAGGTTTTAACCAGAATGGATACCTCTCCCTAACACACCCTTCGTTTTGCACATTACACAGAAATGAATCAAAAAATTGCTGTACAGAAGTGTACATTGAATCAGTCTTTGCCACACACGCAGGTCAATTCTCAATTAAATAGTAAACGTGTAATATATATTCTTTAATTCTGTGTTTTGATATTTGGCAGTTTGTTTACTACATTTTTTGTCCCGATGAGTTTGATCGTAACATGTTAAATTAAGAACAAGTTTTGAATATCATGAGGTGCACCCTTTATTGAATTATTATATACATGTTATTCCTGAAATAATAATTCATAAGCCAATATCGTTTTAATAGTACCGCATATAATTTAAGACACCTGCTTACATGATGTAAATATTACTCGATAAACAAATACTTCTTGTAATACACCATAGTGTAACTCACGTATAGTAAAAATATGTCGGCTTCTAGCCAAAGTCTAGTATGTGGTATATCCATCTATAATGTCATACACCTTACACTATTTAAAGGTACTTGAATATCTACACAAAATAGGTTTAAATACACCAAGATTGAAACTTTACGTATCGAAAATGAAATAATGTTTAACGTCCTATCTGATCTGCTCCGACTGGTCTAATGAAGACGGGCATACGCCATACAGTGTGCTTTGATGGAATATTTGCTACTGCGCCTACTCTTATATCGAATTCCAACTGTCATGGGATCTTTTACGTGCACGCCAATGTGTACAGGGGTCCTCGGCTTTTGGTCCCATCCGAAAGACTACTTTACGTATCGTCAATAACATTCAATTTCGAATGAACATACCAGGTCGTAAACAAGAGAAGTTATCAATATTGAACAGTCCTCGCTTTTTTGGTAATCTAGTAACCTTTCTCCCACTTTGTTCAAATTACTCCCTTTGATTTATCAATCTTCAATTATAAAATTTTAATTTTGAGTACAAAAATATCCAGATCTATTAAAAAAATTAAATCGTGGAGCAGCGACTTTAAAGCGACATTGCCAACTTTGATAACCTTTCGATATTTGGCTACTCATTTCAGTCACAATAGTAATGGAAATATGATTTTTTATGTATATGCCCCGCCCCCTCAAAAAAGGAGAAAATAAATGTATGTGGTTTCAGAATATGAAATTCTTCAAATATTATAGCAAACCCAAATAATAAATGTTCATTTGGCATTAGGAACATGTAAAATAGACTGGGTGTGCGTAACTGGAGTTCACAATTAAACATACATTATTCAAGAGCTAAATCTGCCTATTTCAGGTCTTTCTTTAGGCCTGAAATATTAAATAAACTAATAATTATAATTTATTAACATGAAAAGACCTTGATCAACTCCCGATGCAATCTTATGTGTCGGATTTTCATTGGATTTGAATTCGATCTGCTGCTCAACGCCCATTGATGATTAAATCCAACAATATAGATAAACAAGACTATGTTTTTTATCGTACCGACTTTAGTAATGATGATCGAGGCTAGGTATAAAATATAAAATTCAATGGCCAATACCTCGGTTGAGAGTGGAGCAATTTGATTGAAATTTTCAGCATATTCTCTTTTCATTAAGTAGTTTTTAACCATTATAGTGATAACTGCCAGCTCTTTATCTAATCTTCCATAATGTATCTTTAACTAAACAAAATTATCGTTAGAAACTAGAGGGTTTTAAAAGATGGATATACAGACGGAATACAGTCATTGTAATTGACTAAAACAACTATTGTCAATGTGCAAGGTCATTTAAAACCAACTACTTAACGATTTACTCTACTGTAAATATAAACAACATTAATGAATTACTATTACTACTGCGGTTTAAGGCTGATCTGTGCAGATGAAAGTGTAATATCAATCTGATTAAAACACAGATCCTATTTCGTTTCGTTCTTTATAGTTTAAAATTTCGTTTACTTGTCTTTACTACACTAGGATCTGGAAGAGTTGTTATATAACCCGCGTTTTGGCTGAAGTGAGGGATAAGCCAATGAAACGATCTGTTACGGCGATTTCTTGGCGTGTCATGCACGGAACTAGAAACGTCAACGCTGATTGATTAATCAATGTCTGACGTCATAGGGTCAAAAGCCGATCGTACGACCCTTGACACGACCTACCAGTACAACTTTTCAGATCTTCATGTAGTCTAGGCCATCGAAAGTATAAAAAAAACGAAACGAAATATAGATCTGGTATTTTAATCAAATTGGTCTCTGAGATTATTCCTTTAAACGGCCCACCTGTAGTAAACATGACCAACAAGCGGTAGTTTATTTGCTGTTTGAAGTAAAATAGTGTTTATATAAAATAGCTTACTGTGCATATTTCAGCTTAACTATGAGTACTGATTTTATCTATATCCTTGTCCCAATTACCTACTTATATTTAATGTTTTGCGGTCAGACATTTTTATTGACAAGCGAAGTTGTAACTTCCGCCCGTTGATAGAGTCTGTTAAGAACTTTGACAACAAATATGATACCATATACTTAGTATCTGAATATTGTTTTATAGTCAATTTAATCTTGAAATTAGCGTCGTACTTTTCAACTACACCCAGGCCAACTAAGTCGGGGACTTTCTCGACCAACACCGGGATCGTACCAGGGACCTCCAGGTTAGCGAACCAGCGCTTTACAACTGGGCCACAACACCTCAGATTATTGCTTCAGAGGTCTCTT